TTTGGTTGGCTTTACAGAGAAACCAAACGCAAACAAGCCGACCAATTCAGCCGACCCCTTGTTAATGAACCCTCAGTGATTCATCAAGGCGTCCCATTTTGGTGGAAATTTATTTCTTCTAGGGGCATGCGCTCCACTTGTGCGTAGGTTGGGGATGTATTTCTCCGGGGGTCAGCAGGTGCTCGGCGCTCGCTTGCGACTTGCGCAGGCTGCGGAAGCGCAAGTCTTTGACTGGGTACGCAGTGGCAACAGGCCATCCATTGGCATTTGCCGGACTGAGCCGATGCAATCTCTGAGAGAGCTGGAGCTGGCGTTCTGGAAGGGCTCGTGAGGTTGATGTTGGGGTTGGCCGCCTGGGCGGATTTTTTCAGCAGCCGTTTGCTTGTCCTTCATTTTCCATTTCAACCGGAAAAGGAAAGAGCTGGTGGTGTCCTTCGTGTGGAGTCACATGGGGTTTTTCTCGCCGCCAGTTGCGGGGGCCTTCCTGTTTGCCTGCGCGGGCCCAAGAGAGAGAGGGGGAGATCTGTTTCTTTTCAAAATTTGTCCCCAAGGTTGGGGATTAATGGTTTCAACAACAGCTGGGGTCTCCTCTGAGACGATTTTACTTGTTGATGGATGTGTGTTTTGAAGTGGGTGGCCCATTTTTCGCTGGTTTCTTTGGGGAACAAAAGGACCGCCAGCTGCTTTGCGGGTCTTGAGAGAGGCACACCCGCGGCTCGTTTTTCCTCCTCCCCTCCGCACTCTTTGGCCTTGAGGTGTACTGCGGTCTTGTGCAGCACCGAAGACGCAGCCGCAGGCTCGCCGCAGTTCGGAGTTGCAACCTGAATTGAAAATGGGCTGCAACGCATGTCATTTCCTGTAGGGGGGGGTGCCGGGCGCGTTTGACCAAGCTGGGAACGAAATCGTCCGATTTCCAGACCGCTGGTTCTGTTTCCGATCCCTGACGCTGGAGTCTCCATGACCATCCCGGAGCTCTCATGGCGTTTCACTTTTCGCCACGGAGCGGACCGAGGTTTTCAGCCTTCAGATTCTCCTTGTACGGTTGGTTGAAAGGAAACCACCTGCGGATGTTCCAACAAGTTTGCCTTCTTTGTCCGATTGGATTTGACAAAGCACGAGACTATGCAGCTTTCAGCCCTGGAAGCCTTGGAAGTTCCTTTCTTGGATAATCGGGTAGGTCCAAGGGTCAAGACCAAACTTGACGTGTCAAAAGGGCCTGGCCTCCGAATCATGCACAGAGTCACTGGAGTTCGAAATCATTTTAATCAGAAACGCTACCTTGGAGGCAAAGCGGCGGGTCTTTTGTTGCGTGATCTTCCTTTGTATGAAATGACAGAAATTAAGAGTTGCGGCTGGTTTTTGTCACACCACAACCAATACAGAGCATGTATCCAGTGGGGGCACAGGATTGAGGTACACATTGTTAGCTCCAGACTCTTTGAGGACCTGATCCATTTACTTGCTGGTGCTCAGTAGAGAATGTGGGACTGAACCCGGGGTTTCTCTTCAAAGAACCACCAGTTGGATGGTTTCTCTTGGGGTCATTCTTTCTCACTCCCTGCTGAGCAGCAAGTTTACCAGAGTTCAATTTCGGGAAATCCGCTACTTTTGAGCCACCCAAATGTCACCGCCGGTGGTGAAAAAGAATCTACCCACCGCGAGGCCGAGACGACCGAGCTGGAGGCTGATGAAAAGATGAGATTTGTCGCCCTTCCCGAGTTCACCAACAAAACTGTCAGTGTGTTTTTCGAGGGTGCGTGTGTTTCTCCGTTTTTTTGTATGCAAAACACACACCCACAAGTCCTGAAACACCAAGGGTGGTTTCATTTGAACCATTTGGGGAATCAAGAGAGGAGCCGAAAGCGTCCAGCGGGCCAGCTGGTTTTTGGTTGAGCAATTTAGGGACCCAGTCTTGCTGCAGATGTTTGACAGGTTTTGTGCTTCGCATTCCCAAGCGTGTTTTGTTTGAGGGGCGGGGGCTCCTTCTCTCGAATGAACCCGACAGGAATCCCACCTTTTTTTTTGGGTCCTTAAGGTCAACACAGTCACACACACACACACCCAAGTGAAAATGCGTCAAGAGGACCCCTGGCCCTCGCAATGGTCAGGGAGCGTCCCTCGTCCGACCTGAGTATGGCTCGATGGGTTAGTCCCTTACAGATCAACATGGAGCCCACATGTCCCTTATGGGCGTGGGTCAAAAAAAGGTACCCCAAATGGCACTCTGGGAAAGGGAAAGAATGATCAATATTCTGCGGTCCCCCACCCACCCCCCCCCCCCCCTCGCTCACAACTGCAACTCGACACATCATAGACAAACAAAAACAGCAGACAGCAAAAAAAGCGCCAAAAGCGCCAAAAGCACCAGGTCTTTTACCAGCCCGTTTCCTCCAAAAAGAGATTCCTCGCCAAAGGAAACCCCGTGGGAATGGGTCAAAATGGGGGTGGGGGGGAGGGGGTCGTTACGAAAGGCTGGCGCGCACACGAACACACATGCCAGTGCACACAGGTTGATGCATGGCCAATGTTGGTTGCAGATGCTGGCAAAAAGCGTCTGGAGAGCCACGAATGTCCATCCCAGCAAGCATGAGCTTAGAAGAGCCTCTGTGACGAGAGCACGCAAACGACAGCATAGTGGGGCGCCGAACAATGTATGGACAGAGGGTGGCAATCATTGCAAGTCTATATTCAACCCAGCTTGACTCTAATGCGTGTCGCTACACGCGAAGCTTGTTTGGAGGCATCGAAGGATTTCAGCGGTGATTGTTGGCTGCAGCTTGTTGGTTCAGATTTTCGGGCAATTGAACTGCAACTATGCAGAAAACATGGGGTTTTTTGACAATTTATGCATGAAAGCAACGCTGTCCTAATTGTCCCGCTCACCGCCAAGCATGAGCCAGAGAGGACAAATTGAAAAGCCAGGGGAAAACACGTGTGACGCAGCTTTCGCCTCCAGTTTTTTTGTGTTTTTAAACAGCCTGTGACCTTTTTGGAGGCCCCCCGGGTTGGACTCAACGCGCATTTACCGGAGAGTGGACGCGGGAGTACGAGAAGAACGAAGGACCTTCGTTTCATCCAAAGTGACTGTGTTGCAACCCGCTTTGGAAGACGAGCGCTCCCTTGATTTTAAGGTCCATGCCCCAAAGGAACATTTCCCACAATCAGTGGAAGCGAATGGGTTCTGAAAGTGCGATCTTGGGTACGAACCCGGAAATTATCCTGATAGAAGTTATATATATATATATATATGTATGGCGGGTATCTATGTAGGGCCTTAGATTGATGCCATCCAAGACCGAGAGCAGGGTGTGATCCATTCAAAGACCAGCGAGACGGAACACACCTAGCAAACACAAGGGATGATTTTGGTCGCGAGCTGGGAGCATCCAAGCAACCCTCACATTCACGAGTGTTTTGGGGTATCTTGCCTGGTAGCGTTTTTTTCCATGGAGCTTTGTTTACGTTTGCATCTTCTTTGGCTTGCGGGGTTGGAGTTTACCCACCAAGAAGCTGACAGGATGGAAGACGACCTAATCCTGAGGTGAAATGATTTCCAGATCCTTATGTCCTAGACCTCTCCAAGCGGGCTGGAAGCACTTGGAAGCTTCTGGAGGGAATGTTCATCCCTTCATGGTTGTTGTTGGGACACATTTTTCCAATTTTTGCTTCTTGTGGTTTAGTGGGAAGGAAATCCAACCACTGAACTGCTGAATTTTTTGGGTACTTTTTGCTCTCCTTCCAACGTCAACGTCAAGTGATCTCAGATCCCTTTCTCGCCTCCGTCCGCCCAGGCGGACTTGTCGCCGGCGGCGCGATGTGCTCTTCGCTGCGCGGCCACGGCCGGGCGGGGTTTCAGGGGGCAAAGGGGTGGGGGGAGCCAGCGGCTTTAGATCGGACGTTGAGCCAGAGGTTTCGGTTTCAGCCTGCACTCCCCAGAGGTTGGATCCCTTTTCCAGCCTTTATATGGGCTCCACGTCCAGGGAGTGGATGAAGGGAAATATCGTTGGGGTACCATAGTAATTCCCCCCCCCCCCCCGCCAAGGCAATCTTAGGTGGTTGAGTGTTACCGCCATTGTACTTACCACTCCTTGGATGCCTTCTTCGGGGCACAGGTCACCTGAGCCACGGGCGCAAATCCGATTCGGGTAGATGAAGGTTAGTAAGGTTGACAATCTCCTTGCCATAACTAGCTGCGGATCTCCGCCTTCTCAATTCTCTACGCATGGTTCTGGGTAGACCATTGTAATAGCGGATTTTGAGTATGACTCAATTGAGTAAATACATCAAAGGACACTTGGATCAGTCTGACCTTCGAAAAGAAAGGCCCCTATAAAATGGCAGAGTCCGTGTCTACTAAACTGATCCTCGTTCAAGTTGATTGATTTCCTTGCGAGCGTTCGACGCAGAAGGAACAAGGAAGGGAACAGGACAGGGACAAAAGAAGGAGGGAAGCAAATAGGTTTAGCGTAGGAAGATACAGTGGGAGCCTTTTCTGGTTGGGTTTGCATCATGCCGCTCATCCATGCCAAAAAATACCCTGCGTTGTGGTGAGCCAGTGTGCGCAGGTACTTCCCTCCAAAAAGAAGGACCCTTTCCTCAAAGGATATGATTGGGTTCCATGTTCATTCGTGAGACAGTTTTAAAGCTCTTGTTTTTTGTTGCATATAATTTGTTTTGCAGGACAGTTCTTTTTTCATGTGCAGGACAGTTCCCACGTTTGGGGGTTCATTTTCATTTGTAGGGCAGCTTCAAGCACATGTATTTTTGGGTTTATCTCTATTTGTAGGACACTTCTCCTGAACTGGGATGTATTTCGTGTGTACAGTTTCCATTTCAGCTTAAAGCTGGGGATGCCTCTCCAGCCTCTTTTTTTTGAACTCGTGGCTTTCGGCTTCCGCCCGTCTCAGACCGAGTCTCGGAACCGAGGTGATTGGAAAAGCCGACGCCGCCGCGAACCAGACCGCGGATCTCACGAAGCTCACCCTTGGAAGGCGCAAGGAAGTTTTTTTGACGGTCGAACCAGCTGGTCCAAGGTCAGCCCCGTCAGTTCCCCCCAAAAAAGCTCGAATCCAGTAATCCGGATCTCTATGAAGCAGCACCTACTCATCAAGGGCCTAAAAAGCGTAACTTTGAAGGGGGAACACCGCCAGAATGTTAACCCCGGATTAAGCAGAGCCCCTGGTTGATTTTTATTGGGGGGGGTGTCCCCTTTTTGTGGGGATTCAGACCACTTTTGGAGGGAGCACCCCCCTAGTAATGGGACGGGTTTATTCATCCGTGGTCACCTTTATGGTCAATTTGGGCCACAGCTCGGGCACTCGAAAACTTGCCCATGTCGCATAGAGGGTATAGCAAATTCGATTGTGGCACATATGGGTCTGTCTCACAATAGGGAGCCCTTCAAAATTATGGCAAGAGAAAGCCTCGCGTTTCTCCATGTTCTGATGTTAGCAAATGGCTGGATTGCTATACAAGATGACGAGAATACCTCAATACCGGAAGGAAAGCTTAGGTGTACGAGCAGGAAGGACGCCACAAGGAAAGCAAATACCGGAAGGCAAGCTTAGGTGTGCAAGGAACGCTTCTTCTTTTTCGTTTGCTTGGTTCCCTAAGGGACGCCACAAGGAAAGCCTCCAGTCTGGTCCCCTCGTCTGGTCGCCCAACCGAACTAACGCCTTCGTAGCTTCGATTCGAAGCGCCAGGCTGACCAAAGCGTCTGCAGCTGCAAAGGCCGTTGCTGGCGCGAAAAAGGGAAGGGAATGAGAAATGGAATGCACCCAGTTGCTTTGGTGCCCTGAAAAAGGAAACCACCAGTTTTTGGGTAGGATTTTCTTGGGGTCATTCCGTTTCTCATTGCAATTCTAAAAAAACAGCAAGTTGTCAGGCCGTTTGAAAAGCACAACAAGTGGAAGACCCCTCATTCCGGCAGCTTCTCCTATGAGACAAACCCATCTGCAGGTGTCTCTGAGAGTGGATCCCGAGAGTGCGGATTGCGAGAACATCGGCTCGTTTTGGGATGGATAAATCTGGTTTTGTTGACTTTCTTTCTGCCCAAAGGGGCTCCTTTGTCAATGTTTGTACGGGCAAGAAGCGTTTGTGGGTTTGGGAAAAGCGCCGGCCGAGCCCAAGTGGGGCTTTACGTTTTTCAAGCATTGAACATCGCAACAGACGAGGACCCCTGATGATTCTCAGGTTCCCCTTTGTCACCCCCGTCCGAGCTAAGAATACGACTTGGCAACTTCTTTCCGCCGCGTCTGCCGACCTTTTTCCAGCGCCAGTCAAAGTCTGCGGCGGTGGCGGATGAGCTCAAGGAGGCTTCTTGATTTCAGGGTCCCAGCTAGGTGCAGAGTTTCTGGCTCTTTCGCACACGCGCACAGACCATCGCGGTGCCCGATCGATTTGTGCTTCGCGTGGTTTTGGGTAGACCTTGTTAATGCCGCTTCTGAATCCTTACACAACACTTTCCTGTTTGGAGCCTCGGAGTGACCCTTTCCTTACTGGCTTGCTGGGGTTTGATTGTGCCTCCTGACAGGAAAACTTAGGGTGCCAATGCTGCCTCTAGCAACTTCGTTTTTTTCTTCTTCTTTTTTTCTCTCCCGCTTTGATTGTTGAGGATTGATTTCTGAGGCACGTACGGTGGATGCCCCAAATATTGCAAGTAAACCAACACACAAACCATGGGAATTTACAGGGTTTCCCTTACTCCCCACTTGCCACCGTACTATGGCCGTCTTTGCGTGTCTTGTGAAGCGAGCTGAGTGGATTCTCGCGAGGAAGCGGCGCGGGCCTCGCGCTGGGTGGCTTCTTCTCGCCTGGCGCGAGCCAGCGAGCGCCGTGCCCAGGAGAGACCGAAAGATGGTGCCAATGTATATAATTTGTTATATGTATTTAATATGTTATATATGTATATATGCATTATATATACATATGCAAATTATATGTATATATGTAAACATATAAAACACATATAATACTCAAACAAATAATAATCATTAATAATAATGATAATACTAATAATTGATAATAATAATAATAAGAATAATAATATTAACAATAGTGAAAGGAAGTTTAGAAGGAACTTCCGTGTTACGGCAACTAATTGAAAGCTAGCTCTCTGAGACAAATGACAAGAGAAGGAATAAGCCTCCGCGAGAAAAAGTGCGCGCGCGTATGGCAGGGGAAGAGAAAGCCGCAAAAAGCGTGGCCCTGTGCGTGAATCGGCATTTTCGAAGATGAGAAAGTCGCAAAAAGCGTGGCCCTGTGCGCGAATCGGCGTCTCCGGAGATGCGAAAGCTAGCTTGGCTCTATGTAACTTTACCCGGTCGATTCACCATTGTGACATGTAGGTGGACAAATAAACGCTTGGGAATGAACTTGGAATCATGACAGGGTCCAACCTAGGTTAAACCAAGGGGAGGATAGTAGTAATAGTAACGATGACGCCGCTAAACCTACTTTTTCTTCCACTTGTATTTCCCCTCTACTACCACTACTACTACTCCTAAGACTACTTAAGCTACTAAAGCTATTAAAACTACTACTACTACTACTCCTACTGCTACCCCTACTCCTACTTCTACTCCTCCTACTCCTACTGGGGAAGGAAGGAAAGAATGATGGAAAGGAGGAAAGAGGGAAATAAACAAAACACATGAAGGAAAGATGAACACATACAAGAGAAGAAAAGGACAGAAGAAAGCACGGAGACTGACAGCTTCCGCTCCGCCTCGCCGGCTCTGACCATCGGGACCCAGTCCCTGAAGGGAACCGGTCCACCCCAGGACTTGAAAAGGTCCAAGGGGTCCTTCTGTATATCTAGACAGGGTACTCAGATGAACATGGCGACCCCAAAGCCAGTTTTTTTTAGCACAGCCTTATTGGCCCGGCCGATGAACATGGGACCCCCCCAAGCCGGCCCTAAAACCACCTTCTTCCCAAAAAGCGACCGCCTTCTTTCGCCCTTTTGCTCAGATGAACATGGCCCAAAGCCATGTTTTTACAGGAAAGAGCTGCCCTGGCCCAGTCAAGTTGGATGTCTGCTCTCGGGAACGTTCCCAGACAAAGCCTGGAACTCGGATCAGGAGATGTGCGAAGGCTTGGTGGCGGCCTGCGGCTGCGTGGGGCGAAAGGCCCAGGCCAGGGGCATGGCCGCGGATGGCGGATGCGAGCGGGCGGTGGATTTTCGTGTCTCAACATTTTTGGTCTTCCTTTGGTGGGGGTACCGTGTTTTTTTTTGGGTCGGTTTAAACCGGAAACCGAAGAAGGATACAATCGAAAGCGATGTTTTGGGGGTCCCCCACGACAAGGCGCACTCGTATTTTGCAGTTGGGGGGTGCTTTGGTGGACATCGTTTAGGTGGGAATAAATGTCCGCACACTCAGGCACATGGTTTTTCGTTCCCCAACAAAGTCCCCAACCAAGATTCACACCACCGGAACCCATAGGAAGTGACCCCTATAACTGCATGCTTTTCCCTTTACCTCTGCAACTCCACATGAGGTTGGGTCAAAATGTATGGTAGGAGGACCATGTCGCTAAATTTCCAACAAAAGCCAGACGAACCTTCATTCCCACGTCCTCTTGGACAAGTATTGTGAAACAACCTCCGAAAGTAAAATGGGTCTGTCCTGTTATTTTCTAGACCCCACAATTTTTGTGTCTTTTTCTCGGTTGGTTTGTTTGAAAAAACCACCAAACAAAATCCGGGGAGCCTCACCCCCCGAGTGGATGACACGCGCCCCATGCAGCGCTCCACGGCCACTGTGAGGCCGCAAAGTGCCGGGCCATGTGCTGCTACGCCTCGGGTGCCCACGCCTTGGCAGGCGCTCAGAGCGATTTCTGAGCTCGCGGCGCGCGGGATGTTCGGTGCTGACTGGCACCGGCGGTGATGCTTATGAGATTTCTTTTTCACACATCGTTTCTTTTATTATGAACAGATGTATTAGGATATTGCTTTATACACTTTCTTCTTTTGTTGTTAGCAAATGTATTATAGGATTGCTTTAGGAACCAGACCCTGGGACATCCCATGAGAGAATACCCACAGGAGGCGACTTTTTCTGCCAATTGTATTTGGGTTTCGAGTTTGGAGGGAATTCGATCCGGAGGTACGAGCGAAAAATCCATTGCGGATCCACTTGGTGTTGGAAATCCATTGCGAAAATCCATAGCGCACATCCACTTGTTTCAGGTGTTGGAAATGAATGGTCGATGTGGGGCCATGGAAGACCGTTGGTCTGTGGACAAAGTTCACAGGGCATACTCTTCCAAATTGCCTTTTCTATATCCTTCAACAGGTCCCTTACCCTAGCACCATGCATAGACTTCTGGGTACCCTCCCATGGAAAGTGACCTGGTGGGATTCATGCGAGGGTACCACTACCTGGTATGTCTTGTTGTGAGGCCACCAGAATGGTGGTTTTCCTATTATTTTCCCTTCAAAGCAATCCAAAAAGGGCAGCTTCAAAGAAAGACACAACCACCTGCTGAATGAGCAAGCTTTGGACTTTTCTTGGCAAGTCTCTTCGTCAGCTCAGGTAAGTACCCTGAGCATGTGGCTTGTGGCTGAGGTACGTCTTAGTACCATACCCATCTATTGTTACATATTTTTGCATCTATTTGCCTTTCATGCAGGCGAAGGTCTCATGCGATACCTTTAGGATGTCGAATCGAAACTGCAAGCTCAAGTTGATTTGACATTGAGTATCATAGTATGTCTCCAAGATTTCCCCGACACTCAAGCCACTATCCCCGGGGTGAATAATGTTATACAGCCCCTGCAGAAGCCGATACATAAAGGTCATGTACGCGCAGAAAACTCGAATCGCGGCCAAGTTGGAAACAGTACCTTTTAACATGGGAAACCTCATTTCGGCACACTCCCATGTTGAAGGCTAGATCGGTCCAGGAAGTAATGTATACACATACATCACAAGTACTTCAAACGGCCAGTCGCAAAACCATGTCAAAAAAAAAGGTTATGAAGAGTCACAAGGATATTCGCTTCTATTTGTGGCTGTCCAGAAAAATCAGGCTTTGATTTTGGTAAAAAAGGCGGCCGTTTTTGATTTGTTTTTCTCCCGGAGCTTTTGGGCGGATTTTGTTTTGGGAAGTCGACCTCTTGAAGCCTCTTCCAAGCCACTTCCATGCGATCAGGTGCTTGGCCCTGGGATTAGCCAACAGGAAACCCAATCCTTGGGCTTTCATGTGGCTGTGGGTAAGAAATAGGGTAACCCCAAAATGGCACCCTGGTAAATGGAAGCAATGACTAAATCCTGTGGTTTGCTAGTGGTTTCATTTTGACCACCCATGTCAGCGCGAATATTTTTTTTTCGTCCCGGAGGTGCCATGGAGAGCATGGCGGAGTCCGCCGAGAAGGTGCAAGCCCCAAGTTTCCGGGGTGAGGGGTGCCAGGCAGAGAGCAGCCTGATGGGAGTTAGGCGCCTCGGCTGCGAGGAGGATGGCGAGCAGAAAAAAACGGGAACTTTGGAAGAGGACACGTGAGCCTGTCAGATCCCTGAGAATCCTAAGACCTCGGATTCATCCGAGGCCAGAACATTACACTGCAAAAGGCGGTTGGAGTGGAACCCAGACGTGACACAGGCACGGGCCTATGCTGGCATTTTCAAAGACATGGAAACACGCGCACGCAGGACACGCAGAACGCATGCAGGCAAAAAGGCATACCACATAAACCGACGACTCGAATTGTTATCGCTGGGACTCCTACTTTGGAGCGCAGAGCGTGAGGCAAAAAAGATGGCAAGAGGCCTACTGCCATCTGTACCTCGGTACAACCAGAAGCTTTCTTTCTTCAAGGTATGTCCTCCCCCCTCATTCTCATTCATCTTCGGTGCCCCTTCCCCCCCCCCCCCCCCCAATTTTCATATGTTCATTCATTTTTTTTTTTTTTTACTTTTTTTTCTTTAAAAAAAAAAAAAATCTCCTCGAGACCTAACCTGTTTAAGGACCGCCCGCTCTACGCCGCTCGACCCGAATTTTCTTCTTCTCGCTCCGAGTCGAGGCGGCGCACTCCCACAGGCGCCGGGGGGCCGCGGGGCCGCGTGAGCGACTCGACTGGTGGAGGGGCCCACCGAAGGTGGAGCGATTCGAAGCCTTTCCTGGATAAGACCGGGTCCGGTTTCCTTTCCGATAAGACCGGGTCCGGTTTCCGCCTTCGGTTTCTGGGGCATGTAAAGGCTTTTTGGAGCCTTTGGGCCGTGGATAAATTGGTGTCGGAGTGGGACGTGACGTCGTAAAACGGGAAGTAAAGCCATCATTTTGAATTGACCAGTCTTTTTTTGTTGTTTTCTTCTCCCTAAGGAGCGTCTCACACCCGAACACAGGCGCACTGCAATGGCGTGACCCTTGGTACCTGGCCCCCGCCCGGTGAACACAAAGGCGTCTCAAGTTACCTTTCGGGGTCAGCTTGAAGGGAGTCAGGAACAACAAGGACTAGAAGCTTCTCAAAGTTGTCTCTGTTTGCTTTTCGGGAGTCAGCTTGAAGGGAGTAAGGATTCTTCGAAGCCAAAACGGAGACCACCTTTTCCAACTGGCTTTCCTAGTTGGAGACGAACTTGAAGTTCTCAAAGATAACCAACACCTGTCGGCCTGGGCGTCAGCCCGAGATTCCTCCGTTTGCAGGATGAAAGGTTTTGTTGCCAGGGTCCGAGTCTTTTTTTGTTTTTTTCCTCCCCAATCCCAGGATTACACCCACTGAATGGGCAATTGCTCTCATAAGTTTCCGGGTAAGCTCTGTGATTTTGGAAGTTGTTGGATAAGTTTGATAGGAACTTCCGGACATTTTGGGGGTTTCAGAGATCCTCCGGACAGAAACCGCGCCCACATCTTCGGAGGATAGGACATTCTGAGCAGATTCTGTCCGTGCTCGCTCACCAGTCTGACGCAGGCTTTCAGCGGCAGCTCTGTGCACAGAACCGCGCGGGTTTGTCTCAAAGGGAAGGTGGTTGATTTCCTTTCGGTTTCCCTTTCAAGCCACCCGCAAAATCGGTTCCCCTCCAACAAAGAACGGAGCCATGCAGAGGTGCACAATGCCAAACCTCGCCACTTCCGTTCCGCCTTGCGAGTGGAACTCGCGATGCGGCCATGGCGCGCAACGCGAGCTTCGCGCTGTATGATGCCTTGGAGCTAGCAAGAGATGCCAGCCCAGCAGAGGTGAAGCGATCCTACAGGACGCGAGCCGCGGGTTGCATTTGCGAAGAACCCTGAGAAGCTGGCCAGCGACTTCCAAAGCTCCTTTTTTTAACTGTTCTTGGGCAAGTTTGTTTGAAGTAAACAGACCATGGGTCGCTTTAGGCAAACTCAAATGCGGTGAATGACAGAACAGTGACACTCGTGGCTTAAGCATGTTTAAGCAAGATGGGGTCCTCCGTCAGGGGGTTTCCAGCCCGGTTGGCCCAACCCCGGTTGCCCCGCTTTCAGCGTCAACTCCCCTGGGATTGGGCTAAGATAAAACCACCGAATTTCACGGTGTATTTGTGAACACGCGCCAGAAGTCTTCTACCTCAAGCTGTACATAGACAGATGCATATATATATATATATAGAATATGGTGTGTATATATATACACACATACCTATACATATGCATATGAGATATATGTGCCTCTCTCGTCAACACACTGTAACTTACAGTATTTTGCTGCTTGTTGTCGTACATGTACACATACATTACATTACATTACATTACATTACAATACATTACATTACATTACATTACATTACATTACATTACATTCCTATATTTAGATACATGCACATGTGTTTGGGTGGTGCTCTTTCAGGTTGGGACAGCTAACACCGGTGCCACGGATGTAAAAAGCGCAGGAGGCTCGCCGCGCTGCACCATCCGGACAAAGGAGGGGATCAAGAGAGGCCTTCCGAGAGCCACGCGTGGAGTTTTTTGTTTTGTGATGGGGAAACCGGGAAGCCTGAGAGAAGAGCCCAATTCGTTTCTTGGGGTCACTTTTTTTTTTGGAGATGGATGCACCCGCTTTCCGGGGTTCTCAACCATAGCTGTAAAACTTTGAATATTTTCTTTGGTGCCATCTGCTTTCACCCAACTGGGGCTTTACATTTGACGGCCCATTTTGGGACTTGTGAGGATGTCACTCTAACGGGCCCGGTCAAGGGTTTGGGCATGCCTCTTTTTTGGGCCAGGCTGGGTGGTGTTTGCAAAAAGACACATACTGTGGATGGGCAAAATCTTGCACCTCCGAAGAATCCCTGGAAGGATGATTCCTTTGTGAATACCAACAAACAAACGGCTTCCCATGGTTTCAAAGCGGTGCAGGCTTTTGTCCACCCACAGTAGGGCTGGTGTGGTGAGAAGGCGACTAGACAATGACCTCGCACTAACCATGACAATCACAACTGGCTCCCATTTCGGCGAATCGTTTCATTCAATGCCTTGGAGTATGGTCCTCCTGGTTTCAAAGAACGAAAGGAGACCCCCCCCCATTTTCCTTCCATTTTTTGCGGAAAGAAGTGGAGTTGGAGGTTCAAGGAGGTGAGCTTTGCCTATGAAGTGCTCAGCGATCCCGAGCGGCGGCTCCAGTATGATGAGAAAGGACGGGCCATTTTTCCCCTTGGCGGCTATTGGCTTGGATCGCTAGACTTCAACTTCTTGGGGAAGTACAGGTGTTTTCCACCAAACTCCCAAGAAGTTGTCCACTTTTTGCCGAGTCTCGCCAGCCAAGTTCCCAAGCTGACAGCTTTGGGGTCTCCGCCCAGATGAGCTCCGGGCTCCGCCCGGCGGCTGGGGAGAGTGCCTGGCCGATTTTTCTGCTGGCCTTTCCAAGCAGAAACCTCCCGGCTCTATGGGACTGGGGCCCTCAGAGTGTTCCAAATTGCTTCGGGGAGGATGTTGCTTGAATGGAGCCTAGGGAGTTCTTCCTTCTCTTGAACTGGCCAGTTTTTTGGTTTTCTTTTTTTGAGTTGTGGTTCCAAGCTCGGATTTCGTATTCACCTTGTTTTTTTGGTGGTTGTTCCAAACGGATTCCGAATTTCCGCGTGAAATTTTCTCACCGCCTGTACGTCTTGGTGGCTTCTCCCTTTTCTTTGGCTCGTAGGAGACCGGCTCTTCTACACCGGCCCGCCTGCGAATGCTGAGGAGCTGGCCGAGAGGCTCTTCCAAGGCGCAAGCACCCGGCGTGGGCGAAAAGGGAAGCCACAAAAACGGCTGGGAGCATCGAACTGCCAGAAACAAATGGGGGATATTCGTATATTTGATATGTTTTTTTTTGAGCCTTGCTGGAGACTTGGTAAGTTTAAAAAGGAAATGAATGGGGGATATGCCCGAAATTCGTATCCCTATCCTAGGTCCCGCAGCCAGGTGCCCTTTCTCACCCACTTTTTTGGTTGGGAGGGTTCCCCTACCCTGATTCTAACCTCTCGACTGGAGGACCTAGAGCAAACTGCCCAACAAATGGGGGATATGCCCGAAATCCATGAAGGGATGTCTCATGTTCACTGGCAGTTTGAGGGCTTCGCAATTCTGCCAGAAACCAATGGACGGAGGATTTGTCCCAGCAAGTAGTCCGTTCATGAATTCATGGGACACCAGTTCAGTGAACATGGGAGAACCATCAAAATGCCAGAGGCCGGCAACAAATGGGGCCCAAAATTCATGAACGGATCTCCCCATGTTCACTGGCAGTTTGAGAGTCGAGGACCACTTCGCAATTGAGAAGAGCACCGCAACGATGGCCCCACTGACTTTTGAGCAACAACGGGCCTCTCCAGAACGAAAACACATCATGCGCCAGTGTCCCAAGGGTATATGATAACATCCAAATCAATTGAAACATCAATTCCCTGATTTTTGGGGGATCCGGTGCCTAAAGCGTTTTCGCCTGAGGCCCTGGTGGGAAGCGACTGCGAAAGAAGACCAAGCAGAAGTTCGTGCCACTCTCGGTGTCCTTAGAGCTGCCTGGCTTAGGCTCCTCCACTTGTTTTCTTCTTCTTCTTCTTCTTCTTCGTATTCTTCTTCTTTGCAACGCGTGCGTGCGTGCGTGCAGTGTGCGTGCGTAGGGTGGGTGGGTGGGTGGGTGCGTGGGTGGGTGGGTGGGTTTGGTGAGGCTCGTGGGTTTTTTGGTTCAGCGCACGGTGGAGTCCCTTGTTCTTTGCAAAGGCCCCATTTGTTTGGGGTGTCCAACCCATGACCAAAAAGTTCGAAGGCTTCCAGAGAATCCAACAGGAAACCCCAACCACCCCCCCCCCCCCCCCCGCCCATTTTGGGCGTCCAACCAAACGAAAGACGAGCCATGCCCCAAAAACCCCGACCAAAGGCAGCTCTACCTTGGCTCCACGGAGAAGCTGTTCGTCTTGCGGAAGGTCGTCGACACCTCCGAGCCCGCGACTCGACTCGACTCGACTCCGGGATCCCATTTTGGGATAGGTGAATTCACCACTCATTTTAGAACCTATTTTAGTGGTTGGATTGGGATGTTCACTGGGGGTACGATTTGGGTTTTGACCCATGGCCATGTCCAACAGATGCCATGGGATGGGGAAGGATGGCTGAAACCGCATTTCAACGCTTTTGGAGCCTCTGGGACATGTTTTTCTCTTTTTCCTTTTTGCTGGCCAAGGTTCAAGGAGATTCATTCTTCGCCAATTCGGCCAGTCAGGTTCCTTTTGATTAGGCTCCTTTTTGATTGCGTGTTACCACCAAAATCGGTGCTTCTCTCTTTGTTCCTGCCTTGTCTTTGGGTCACTTTCCCTACTTACTCCCCCGGACTTCGGAGACGTTCTTCACTGCAAGACTTTTGAACCATAGTGGCCAAACGAAAGTGGGCGTGGCTCAAACTTTACCAGCAGGAATTGAACCGCAGGTGTTGGTGGAGGTTTTTACTTCCCAGGGCAACCCATTTTGGAACTCCGGTTTTTATGAGCCACAGCCATGCTCCCAGACTCCTGCCTGCTGAACTCCGATCAGGTTCCCCCAGGTGACGCCCGCCGCTTTAGCAGGATGCGATGCCGCTGTTCGCATCGGTGGCGCCAGTTTCTTCAAATCGGCCTCCCTTTGCACTGCCCGGGATTGGACGCTTTGTAGGTGTTCAGAGGGGACACGAAAAGAAAAGCGACAAACTCCAGCACCAGATGGATTTGGTCCAGTTCTTTCCATGTTTGTTTGGGTAGACCACTTTACCAGTTTTTGATTGCTCGAAAGGACAGCCACCATTTTGAGCCCCCCCCATCTTCACACACGTCTGCTGGTTGGACTTTTCAAGACGGACCAAAGGGAAACCCGAGGCCCCGGACTCCAATTTGGGTCCCGAATTTTGGGTCCCGGGCTCCAACTCGCCGTTCTCGGGTCCCGAATTTCCCGGTTTCCATTTCGAGAGACCCCCCCCTGGCCTCAGGTGCGTCAGTGTGTGCAGTGCAAGGGCATGGGCGCCGCTTTGGGCGCCCTGTTGCCCTGCAAGGCCTGCGCCGGGACCGGCAACACCTGGCGCCCTGTCCAGTTCATCAAGATGACTTGAGCCAGAATCAAAACAGCTGTTTCAGCCTCAAGCCTTCCCGCGGTGACAGCTGTTAGCTGTTCGGTAGGACCTGACCCCTCCTTGGTCATGGCCCCATCACCCGGACAGTTACAGATTTGGGGACGGGGGTTGATGTTGGCCTTTCTGGTCAACTTTCTCATGTTTTCCATATCCTTTGGAGATGTAGATGGGGGGGTTCAGGAGGAATCCCGAGTTGGCGGTGACTATTCTTTTGTTGGTCTGTTTTCAAAGATGTTCTTGGTGGTTTGGAATGGTATTTGTATCTCTCCTGGTAAAGCGGCTTATTGGATCTCCCTCATTTGGAGCAGAGTGAGGATCAATAAGGACTGCAGAGATGAATTGGTGCTATTTGGTATCTATGATTATTGCTGGGTATTGGTATGTATTCTTCTTCGAGAGCGACCTATTGATGCGGTCTTCGAGTACCTCGTCATCGGTGCCATTGGTATTCTTTATCTGTCCATATGCCGATTTCTTCGTGGAGGAGCTGCAGTATTGGACTATCTATTTGTGATTATTCTTCGTGAATTGGATGAGATACAGGCCGGGTGTCGCATTTGGGTGCAAGGGAGATGTCGGCTGACCCCCTTGGATACCCTTTCGGCTCCCTATTTTTGTGATGTTATGGGTGTTATGTACCCTCGCCCTGGATTGGTTTATTCATGGAAATGTTCCTTGCAACGAGCCCCCCGGATATGCTGTGATCATTTATCTGGGACATGCAGAACCGCTGCTTCCTTCATATGGCTCAACCAGATTGAATGTGAGTACTGGCCCCTCGGTGGGCCTCGGCCATGGAAGCTGCCTTGGAGGCGTGAGACTTCTGCTTGGCTGGATGGGCGTGGCCTTATTCTTTTGGGGATGGTTTCAGGTGGTATTCCGTCTCTGGGAGCTTCTTGGCCGAGTTTGCAGTATAAGAGGTATAGAAGATGAGCAGCTTGGCGGGTTGGACATTGACCTGGACAAGTTTGGACGTGATTTGGAAGGCCCTTTGGCGACGTATGGCTCAGTGAAAGGGAGAACCTTGAACAATGCTGGGCGCGGCAACTGTTTTTGGTACGCTGTGAGCCAACTTCGTTTTGGGCATGCCAGGAGCTGGAGGAGGACCAAAAGGCAAGTGCTCATGGAGGCCAATCAGGTAACCAAGGAGAAGCACAAAGCAGGTGGTAAATGGGCTGATGAAGAGGCTATTCAGGCTACTGCCAATTTTCTTCGCCAAGAAATTTGGGTGGTCAACGTGAGTGGTAAGTGCAACTTCAATCACTTCGGACAAGTGGTGAGGTTTTTGCCCACAACCCAGGATCAGGAGATCAAGCCATTGGTCCTCAGGCTCTGGAGCGACCACTTTGAGAACAGCTTTTGGTTTGAAAATCGTGAGGTTTCATGGGAAGCCTACAAGAGATCGCCTCTTGACTTGTGTGTCCCTTGTGTCGAGCTTGGAGATATGGAAGATAGCGGAGGCACGAATCCTTCTGGAGATCTTTGTGGAGGTGGCAAAGGTCACAAGAAAGGGAGGAGCAACTCACAGTTTGGTGACATTCCTGGAGTTACGTATGATATCAGCAGATACCTTTCTTTCGTTCTTCGGCATGGAGCAGATAAGGAGGGTATTGAAATGGACAGTGAGGGATACGTGAAGGTGGAGGATATTTTGGCCAGAAAGCCACATGCCTCGATCGACAGCGTGCTTTTAGCGGTCAATCGGGATGAGAAGGGCAGATTTGAGGTACATCAAGGAGAAGATGGGTGGCTTATTCGCGCAACCCAAGGCCACAACAAGGAGTTGGACCTCAGCAATGAGATGCATCGCCAGATTACAACGCCGGATGAGGTGGATCAGCCCACTTTATTTCATGGCACTTATTTGGCGGCGTGGGGGTCCATCAGACGTCAGGGGCTGCGATGTGGTCACAGGCAACACGTGCATTTCAGCACTACCTATTTTGTGAACCATGGCCAATCAGGTATGAGGCCGGGTTGTGATTTGGTGGTTGCAGTGAATGTTCAGCAATTGCTGGATGCAGAGATGCCCTTGTACAAATCAACCAATGGGGTCTATTTGGTGGGCCAGGACATTCCACCGGAACTTCTGTACAATGTTTATTGGGCTCGTGGTCCGCACGACTACAGGATGATTTGGCAATATGGATATTGTGTGCTACATGAGCAGATTGTCCGAGATGAGATATTTGCTGCCAAATGTCGGAGACTAGGCTTGGAGCCTTGGGGTTTTCTTCAGCCCCCAGAGGTTGATGGTGCAGGTGAAGAGGAAGTGAAAGAAGAGATGGAAGAGATGGAAGAAGTCCTTGTGGAAAAAGAGGAATATGAAGAAAGCAAAGAACATGAGGAGCTGCAGGGAAGTGAAGAGGTAGCTGATGTTGTGGATCAGGCCTCGGGTTCCGATGGATATCGAGGCTGGGGAGAAGTGTGGAGTTTGTCGGACGCGCCAACTTGGCAGCGAGGGATCCGATTTAAGTCACGATCCCGCTCCCCCGGGGGGAGGCCGCTTCATAATAGTCTTCGGACCCCGCTCCCGAGGAGGCGCCCTTTGCCGCGGTTGAGGAGAGATATCAGCGGAGCTGGACTATGGAGTACAGAGTACAAAGTGCAATGGCGCAGTCTCAGGCTTTTTCTCTTTATGGTTTGCTTTTTGGCCTATCTTGGTGCAAGTGGCATGGAGATTACCCGTCATATTTGCGGAGGCGGTGGAGACGACTACTCCTACTACTCCACCGATGACGAAGCCTTTTTGCAGAGCAATCAACGTGAGGAGCCCACGAAAAGAGAGTCAGCGTGGAGGAAGCACGGCAGGGACCGCCGGTGCATGAAGGTCCACTTCGCAGTCACCCGGACATTCACCATGGCTCCAACCTCTGAGCGGCCTCGTGAGGGCACCCCGCCACCTGCTAAGACGAGTGGAGGTGATGATCGGCCTCACAAGAGGAAGAGGCGCAAGCACAAGAAGATCTATGTTGAAGACACAGATCCCCGGCCCCCTCTTCCCCGCATAAGACGGGTTGAGGTGTGGAAGAAGGACGAGCCTATGCTGGGCATCGATGGACGACCAGCCCTGCCTCGCAAAAGATCTTTACAGGGGGGTATGCTTGAACAGGAGGTACCTTTGGACCTTATGAGATTGGGGCAGTATTTGCAGCTCACGCCGTTCAATGATGAAATTAGGGACCTTTTTCCATTAAATCGGTATCAGACCTATGCACAGATTCTGGCTGAGAAAACCCGTTTTGTTATGACGCTCACCAAAATGTCTGAAGCCCAAGTCCTAAGCCTTAAAACAGCGTGTCGGAAGCTCATGGGCAAAGCTGTTCAACAGACGAGGGCCAAACAATTTCTCGATCAGGAAGATGAAAGAGATGTCAAGGATGCTGTTGCCTTGGCCACCATGCATGTTTCTGATGGGGATCAACAAGCTCTTGTTGGCAAGTTTGTGAGTTGGAAGATCAAACCGATGCATTTCATCCCTGAAAGCTCGCCCTCCACTATTGCTGGTTTGCTGGGAATCGATGAGTACACAGTTGAAAAGGTGAGATCCATTCTTCTGGGCTATTTCAGTTTTCCCCCAGAAGCAGACCCGGCGCTGGGATGGTACTTCGACGTGACAGGTGGACGGACTGGCATTGTTCCTATTTGGGCGAACTCCCTCGCGCTTATTGGTGGGGGTGGGGAACATGACGATGAGTCTGTTACTTCGGATTCCTCTGCCTTTCACATGCTCAGCCGATGTAGGGATGCCCAAACAGCTTTTGATGAGGCTATTCAACTGCAAAGCACGCTGAGAAAACGGAATCGAAGATTGGCCAAACATTTGCAGAAGCAACAGGAGGTCATTGAGGATCAAAAGGCTACTATCTGCAGGCTTAGGCACACCCTCTCGCAGCTTCTGCCCACTGCTGGAATTGAAGGGAGGATTGTTGGGGATTCGCGGCCCATTCCGCTCGGTGATTCTGAAATCTCCCCGACGGTACCCTTCTTTGTTGATGAAGGATTTTTTGTGAGGGGCGTAGGGCCGGATCGTTTCCGTGACAGGTCCAACAGATTGGCTACGCAGCCTTATTCTATTGCATCTGGAAGACTGGAAATCAGCAGAGGACCTATTCTTGCAGTATCAAGCGAGCCCATCGAGGACCTCTCAGACGTAGAAGGTGGTATGAATGATCCCATTTGCATGATTATGCTACAACGTCTATGTGGGATGATCGATGCGATACCTCACACTATTCCTTCAGTGCTACATGACCCTTATTGTGAGTTATCAGACCTGGGGAGTGGTATTCCTATTCATCGGCTGATGCAGTTTGATGCTTATGGCATTATGGCAGAGCAAATCACTGGAGGAGGAGGAGCAGCTGAGGCCGAAGCAATTGGTAAAGCTCAGCAGAAGGTCATGAGGGCAGAAGTTGAGTTTGCCCCCAAGCAGATTAGAGCCCTTCTGGTTCTTGACTCCAAGCTTAGGGAGAAGATCCTTAGCAATGACGGGCAAAATCAGATTCGGGACATGATCAGGGCCTCTGCTAAGAAGATCGGGATGCAACCTGACAGGAGTGCCCCGGCCCCGTCCGAGGAGCAGCATGCCCCGAGAGGAAAAGCCGAAAAAGGGGGCAGAGGCAAAGGGAATGGCAAAGCTATGAATCAGGATACCTCTAAAGGCAAAGGTAAGCGCAAAGAAGATGATGTTCAGGAAAGACAGGACAAGGGGAAAGGACGCGAGGCACAAAACAATGCAAAAGGGAAGGGAAAAAAGGGGAAAGACAGTTTACCTGAGCCTACCTTCGAGCTGATTCCAGAAGACTGGAACTGCCCAATCAGGTCTATTGCTGATTTCAATCCTTCCGCCCATGGCTTATATCTTATTCAAGATGCAGCGGTGGCCCAACAATTGGCCAGCAAAATCAAGAACGACCAACTCAATGTTTCCTTTATCATGCCTCAA